CAGCCCGAAAGGGGGGGGAGGGGGCGGGGGGGCCCCAGCAGCGCCTCCTCTAGAACCCCTGGAGCCAGGGAGGCCCCCCTGGTTGCTGCCCTCTGCCTGGGAAGCCATCTGAACCGCTGCCTGCGTCGCTATCAGGGCCATGAGAGCTGTGGGGCCCTGCTCGGAGGTCTTGTTGGAGACCCAGGCAGAGGCCTGCTTGGCCCAAAAGTTGTCGCTTTCGCTGGATTTTTCCTGGGGTGCTGGCGTCTGGGATCGTGATCGCGATCGGGATCGGGATCGACTCCCGGAGCTACGGGAGGAGAGCGAGGAGCGCCGCTGCTGCTGCTGCGTCGGTGGTTTGCCGGGCTGGCTACCCTCATTTTTGGAGAGCTTAGTAGCAGCAGTTTCTCCGGCTGTCTTGTCTGCCCCAGGAGCCTTTGACGGGGCCCCCGGAGAAGAGGAGCTGTGCTTCTTGCTCTTCTTCCGAGCCTTCCCATCCTCCCCAGCTCGACGCCTCCTGCCGCTGCCCATTTGTTGTTTCAGCGCCTAGAGGCCCCTCAGCAGCATAGGTTTCTGTACACCTGAAGTGTCTCTGCGGAAAAGAAGAGGCAGGAGCAGCAGGGAGAGCTTCCACGGTGGGGGGAGAACACCAGATCTCTAGGCCCCAGCAGCTGCAGCAGAAGAAGCAGCACGTGCGGGGTCGAGCTTCAAAGGAATAGACAACAGAAAGTAACCTAAACAACTCCGACTGCAAACAAGTTTGAGACACAACCTGGTCCTGCCGCTGCTGCCGCTGCGGCTGCTGCGAGCCTCAGTGGGCCTCCGCTGCAGGCAACACTAGGCAGCAGCAGCAGCAGCAGGCACAGCAGCCCGTGCTGGCTGCAGCACGAGCTGCTGTGGCAATCGGGGGGAAACGAGCGAGAAAATAAACAAGCCGCTACAAAAAATAGAACCCGTAATCGACTTGATGCCACTCAGGAAACACAATGCTCTACCTTTTTCCCCTGCTACTGCTGCTCTAACAACGAGGCCGTGGCGGGGAGCCGCCGCAGCACCGCCCGTGCTCTTTGTGGCCGCAAGATACCTAAGCGCAGTGCGCTGTTTATCGTGCTCCGCCTAGGGGAAAAGGATTTAAAAATACAAGCAAACAGAAAGACGAACACTCCAACAACTTTTAACTTCCAACCCACACACAGACACTGCAGCAACAAGCACGGGTTTGCTGCTGCCTGCTACTGCAGCACGCTCGGCGACACGGCGCTGCTCCGGTGTGGCCAGAGGCTTGGGGCTGCGAACACCCGTGCTGTATCCGAAGGGGTCTCTTCTTTGTTAATGCACCCGTGCTCATTTATTATTTTACTTTTATGCTGTTGCACTCCTTAATTAGGTTGGTTCCTTCATAGGTGCCGCCGCAACACAGCAGTTTGGCGGGGTCCATATGGAACGTGTATGGCACTGTATCCTCGGTCGTGGATATAATCCGAGGATAATTGTGAACTGCAACGGGGCCAAAATACTTATGAGGGTTCCTTAAAAACAGCTCTCAATTACCGTTCTCCGGGCGTGCTGATCGTAGCTGCTTTAGCGCCTGGGGCTGCGGGATAGAACGAGGCCTGCAAACCGTTGCAACGCATCTTGCTACAACTCAAGGGACAGCCACGCATACAAGCACAAACAAGGCCCCTTGGCTGTATGCTTGAGAGACTACAAATATTTGCTGGAAACTTCTACTTGCCACCCAGTTGCCTCGTGAGGCCCGAATGCCGAGTAAGGTTACTGTGCCGGCATTTCCACATTGCCAACACTTGCCACCCAGTTGCCTCGTGAGGCCCGAATGCCGAGTAAGGTTACTGTGCCGGCATTTCCACATTGCCAACACCAGACAGATCATCTGTACCAGACTGTCTAGCATACGCCACCGGGTGTTGGCAGATCTGTCTGAAGTAGGCACGTTGTCCATAACTCCGCGGTTTTTGGTCGCCTGCACGCAGGCATGAGTCATCAACAGTTATTTACAGCGTTCTTGCATGCAGCACCGAATGATGGGTTCTGCTTGCATGCATGGGGGGGCTGTCTTGTAGCTTGAGTTGCAGCACGGTGAGTTGTAACTTCTGTTTAGCTGCGCCTTGAAACTCCAGCTGCTTCGGCCGCTGTAACCAGAATACCGAAACAATGGGTTCAGCTTCTGTTGTCATGAAGTTCGATTTCATACAATAATTGTTGCGGGCTGCAATGAAGTCACTTAGTCTCGCTACAGATCCGAAGTTTCGCGAGTACATTCAATTTTGCTGGCTCCTGCAGCCAGGAATGTTCCATGGCAGTGGTCGGAAACTGCTTTGCTCTTTGTGGAGCGTCGTGCTTGAGAGGGGCAAGAGCGTGCAACAAACGTGCAGCAAATGTGTGTGGCTTAATATATAGTACGGACTACGTTCCTGGGCTAACTAGGGGAGAGGTGAAAATTCGGTAGTTTCCATGGAAGCGAGACACTCCTCTGTCGCAGTAGGGTTGGGCCTGCCAGCCGAAATCATCTGGGCGCCTCCCGTTGTTGGATGGAGGGTCTTCTGGAACGCACTCCTTCCATAAAAATTCTGTTTGCAGCAACGTCAGTAGTACAGGGCCAGTTAAAGACCCACTTTACATGTGGTGGTTATGTCGAAGCAAGAGTACCGCTTCTCCTTGGGCAGGGGGACAGCCTGCGGTAGAATTAAGGCGCATGATGACTTGGACTGCCAGCCTGGCACTGTCGTACGTCCGGCGGGTTTCTAGTAGCGGGCAAGGCCTGACCGGCTGGGAAATGCATCAAGAGACGTAGTAATCTAAACAGAAACTGGTATTTCCCCCCAATTGATTCGGACGGCCTTTTGCAGTGCTTTGCAAACCTGTAGCTCCCACTCTCTTGGTACGCGGTTTCCACTCTTTTAACTTCCCAACATTGCAGCTCTATTCGAAGCCCAGCGAGCCGCATATTCTCATTCAGTACAATCTCAATCATGTCTTCTGGAAGCTTCACACTCTCTCACCACTCAGTGAACAAGGGGACGCTCATATTATGGGCTATTATCGTTGTGAACCGGTAGTGGAAGTCTTGTACTATGGTAAGGAGACCATGGTGTATAGGTGGATTGAGCTCACATTTTGTGCCCGTAGTGTTAGCAGTCGTCGTGCCCAGTCGGCCACCTACGGCGTGTAGCCTCAATGAATGCTCCAAGGAACAAGAAGATAGATTGCACCTCTTCCCCCAGCTGTTTCACTCTGCTGTATTTGGAACTTATCCCATGTGGGCGATCTTGCATTGGAACTGATCCCATTAGGCCGATCTTGCATTAGCACTTATTGAGTTGAACGAAGATCAGTCGGCGTCGTTTCCAAATAGTTTGGCAGCATCATAGTGCTGCGAGCTCTGTGCGGGCCAGTGCGAAGTAGCTGCCTGGATGTCTTCTCCAGTTCCATAGCGCCTCTTCGTCATCACACTGTAGTGTCGGACTGTTCGTCCCGACACATAGGAAACATAATTGTCCCTCTATAGATTCCCCTAACAATCTAAGTACCCATTTCGCCTACTGCCGCCTCTTCCTCACTGTAGCTCTCCCGCCGGGGCTGTTATTCACCGTCCCACAGGCACTTAATCTGGCTCACTTCCAAGGTCGTGCAAGCATACCCAAGCGCTTCTATATGCATGTGTTAGCACTATTAACAGCATATCCTTTCCCTGAAGTAGCCAGTGTGGGGGCACATTTCGGCTGCCCCACCCACCACGTACAGACACTCCTATGCGGCAAGCTAATGGCAAATCCGTCTTCCACCCTAGGCAGTAGCTGCATATAACTGTAGAAGAAGCAACACCCTTGGCTAGCTGCCGAGTCGTTGCATCTTGGCAGCTAGCCAAAGGGGTTGCTTCTTCAACGGGGGTAGTTGGCCGTGCACCTAAGCAGGCGCTCTGGAGGCCTGTGAAACGGAAAGCTCTCAGGTTACAGGGTTCTTCAGCACGCAATATAAGGTGACAGGTGTCGAACGCAGGATCCCGCCAAAAGCAGCCTGTGATGCCCTTGAGGCGCAGCTGCCTTCCTGTGCCTTGTGGCAGTTAGCTGCCGCTCCGGGCAACACCAAAGGGAACTCCGTTGCAGTAGGCTGCATGCGCCGCTGCTGCACACTAGGAAGGTGTGTGTCTGACTTCCCTGCTCCACCTCTCTGGGGACCCTAAGCCAGGTGGGGCTGCGGGCTTCGCTGCAGCGGAAGACTGAGACGACGCCGTCTCTTGGAGCAGCAAGAGGATGTCATCTTCGTCCTCAAAGCCAAGGGCCCTGAACAAGTGCTGCAGCTTAGCAGCACTGCAAGGGTCCAGAGCAGCACGCCGTTGCAATAGCAGTTGCTGCAGCGGCCCTAGGAACCTCCTCATGCTGGGAAACAACCTGCAAAGCAGCAGCAGCACAAGCAACAGGATAAACTTCAAATTGGAGGCTGCGCACTATCAGGGCTGTCGGTGCACCAAGTGGCACCCTCACTTGCAGCATCAGCCCCAAGTTCATGCAAGCGATGCACACATGCATGCCCGCAGCGACCCTCCTGTCTGTGTGGCCTGTGGCCTGAGGGCGGAGCTGCTGGCTGGGCAGAGGCCCCTGAAGGATACAAGAGCAGAAGAGGACTCGTACAAGCTGATCAAGTTCCACCGAACTCGGCATAACTAAATCAGTGTGTGAATGATCAAGCTACAGAAGCAAGGGGGCTTCCCTACCTGCAGTTTGCCAGAGTCTCCGCTATCCTCAGGACAGGTTGTACCCCCGGGGCCGGCACAGAAGCGTTCTGTGGTGGTGTGGAGAAACGACCGTCTCCACGTGAGTCTCTGTCTGTACTCATATCCTGCTGTGATCTCCGAAAAAGGTCCAAAAATACAGCAGCCATCCAATCTTCAAACAAACGTTCACCTGCTGCGAGAGCCTCCGCAGCTCCTTCCGTCGCGCCGGGCAGGCGGGGGCCCTCATGGGACACTGGAGCCTTGCCGCTCTCATGAGACGCTGCTGCATGCACTGTGGGTACGCTGCTGCATGAGTCCCCTGAGAGAGCTGCCTGTGCTTCCCCCGGTCGCTGCTGCAATGGCTGCTGCTGAACGGCGGGGCACCCGCTGCTGCAGAGAGCAGAGCCGGTGCCTCCTTGAGCGACTGCAGCAGCGCAGGGCCCCAAAAGGAGACCAACTGAATGGAGACAGCTGAGGCGCGTGCTGCTGTCGAGCGGAACTGAAGCAGCGACTGCAGAGAGCACTGGGTGCCACTGAAAGCCCCCAGCAGCAGCAGGGTCAGCACCACCAGCTTCGTCTGCAGGGCCAGCACGGGGGCCCACCGTGGCTGCCACAGCGGTGCAAAGCGGCGCTGTGGCTGTGGGTGAAAACTGTTGAAGACGTCGGATTGTCTTGAGGAGATCTCGAGGAGGGAAAGGGAGGCTCCAGCGAGCAAAAGTATGCAGCAATGTCCCGAGCTGCTGCGGCATCAACAGGGACAGGGAGGAGACAGTTGCCCGCCTGAGCTCAACAAAAAAAAAGAAGGAACCGGAGTAGAATAAATACCTACAAGACGGACGGCAGAGAGATCTGCTGCCACCCTTGCAGGCAGCAGCTCCACTTCGGTTCAGCGCAGGACACCAGCAAACTACCCAAGAGGCCGCAGAAGAACGCAAGGGACAATGAAAGTGACAGGGCCTCCCGCAACCAAAGGGGGCTTTAAACCGTGTGCAGCTTTGAATTCAAGGTAACCATTTTTATTCTCTATACAATTCATGACACCGTAAGAAGTAGACAAGAGCGACGCAGCGAATAAGCCTTAAGTTCAACGCAGTGCAGCGGATGCACCTGATCTGCTGCAAGACAATCCGAAGCGCCTCAGCGTCTTTCCCTTGACACTGCAGCAGTGCTAAGCCACAGGCCTGCGCTGCGACTGCCAACTCCCCAGGAGAGGCAAAGCCTATGCGCTCAGAGACGGTTTCCACACACGCAGAGAACAGACGCTTGTGAGGGGCACCATACGCACAATCCCCGCTGTTGCTGCTGCTACTGCTGCTTCTAGTGCTGATGCTAATGTTGCTGCTGCTGGTGCTGCTAGTGCTGCATCTTGCCGTCGACGGTCCGGCGCCTGCTGCTGCTTTAGGCTCTATTGCTGCATGCTGTAGGTGGGTGGAGCAAGGCGTTAGCTCTTCCGCCTCTGGAGAGCCGTAGAGGCGCTGCGCAGCGGCACCTGCGAAGGCCTGCAGCAGCCGAGCCATGTCAAGGACGGTTGCCTCCCCAAGCCCCTTCTCTGCCTCCTCTAAATAGTCACAAGCACCCAAAACAACACTCACCTGTCGGAGCTTCTGTTGCTGTGTCCGGTGCTGTGCCTGCCTCGAGGGACTACGGTTGTGGTGCCGCGGTTTTTGCGTGTGAAGCCAATTAAAGTTCGGGATTTAGAATTTAGGAGGAGACTACGTGCGGTTTTGGGGACAGCGGCGGATTGAGGGTCGCATATTACCTGCAACAGAAGCAAACAGCTTCGCGTTTGTATAGGCAGCGCATGCAAAACTCTGAGCCACCACGGCCAAGTCCCTCACGGGAAGACGGGATCGCCTGATCAGCCGCTGCACATGAGCAGCAAATGCATCCAGAAGCTCCGTATCCGCCATCTGCAATACGAAGACAGCAGCAGCAGTTGTAAAACAGAAGCAGTGGCAATTACAACAGCAACTGCAGCACGCGCACCAGGGCAATCGCAGGAAACGATCCCATTGTGGGCCGCCAGCTTCATGCACCGGCCCAGGACTGGCGTAGCAGCAGATGCAACAGGAGCTGCAGCCGCAGCAACCGATGCAACTAGCAGTGGAGGGAGGGCAAAGAAGATGCAGTTCTAGCGCCCGCCGAGCAGCAGAGGGAGGTCCAAGCAGGTATTTGCGGTGTCTGCGTATACACACCCCTTAGGGGAGCTTGTGCTCACCCGCAACTTAACTGCAGCATTTAAGACCATCGCCACTTCGAAGAGCTGTTCGAACCCCCCTGCAGCCAGCAGCGTAAGGACGCGACGGCGCGCAGCACGCAGAAGTGACGGGCCCAAACACACAGGGGTCCTTGATAAGGCAGACAGCACCTGCGCCAGCTGTAGCTGCACAAAACCACCAAAACCACAAACTCCAGCCCTAAACACCACATTCTAAACCATATACCGTATATCCCAGCATAAATGCTTGCCTAAGCCCTAAGTCGCTGCCCTAAAACCTAATATACACCACAGATCCTGAAGCTTAAATTCCAACAATCAACCGTAAAACATAGACTCTTAAACCGTAAACCCATCCACAAAAGGACGCCAACAGCATGAAATGCATGGTGATCCAAGCCCCCTGGCTGTTCGCAGCGTCGATTCCCGGGGGTGTCGCTCAGGCGCCGACTGTGCTGAGGGAAGAGACACACCGAGTTGAAGCACTGCATATGCGTCTCTGCCCGAGCCGCAAGGCAGGCGACAGACACCCTGAGGTTGTCCTCAGGGCAGCGCCCCGTCTTGAGCAGCGCATGCAGCAGCACCGCCAATTCCGCCGGAGATAGCGAAGAACCTAGCTGAGCAGCAACACACACCAACCTCTACAGCAACGCTCCTACCATGCCAAACAGCAACAGGAAACAGAAAACAGGGAAGGGGCGGCAAGAGACAGGAAAAAGGGGACGGGAGATAGAAAACAACAGGACACGACAAATAACACAGGAGACAGAGAAGGGAAGGCAGTAGGCGGGAGGAAGAGGGCAGCAGACGGAGGCAGACGACAGAATGCATGAATCAAGAGGGAACGAAGCGGTAAAACTAAGCAGGGGAATAACGCAGAAGAAGGCCTAGAGAGACACCTTAGCAAACAGCAGCAACAGCCCACCTCCGCTGCCTGCAGTGCAACACGGCCCCAGTACGCCGCGTCCCCTCCACTGGCACGCGCTGTTTCGGCAGCACCTGCAGCTAAAACAGCCCCAGGAGACGCCCATGCAGGCCCCCTTGCAGCCCAGGGTGGCCACCGTGAAGCCCAGGGAGGCTCCCTTGCGACCCATGTGTGCCCCCCTGAACTACCGGCGCCAGCTCCTCTGTACCTTTCCGCACCTGCACATGCGTGGCAAGCCCCACCCTCTCGACCACTAATTCCCACGGCCTTGCAAACTGCTTCCAAAGTATTTGCTGCGTTCTTCGCGAAGCACCGGAGGCTCGGACAAGCATAAAACAACCGAAATCAAATGCATGCAACTTACGCGGGGTTGCAGAATCGGCACCCTGTCCCTCAGGGGCCCCCGTAGGACAGGCGGGCGCGGGCGATGAGTTAGGGCCACTGGGGCCCTTCCGCAGGGAGGAAAAGAGGCACTGGAGAGCAAATGGGGACGATGGGGTTCCACGCTCTTCGTCAGCCTCCCTTATGCCCCGGAAAAGGCAATTTACGGCAACGTAGCCGCCAAAACAATGCTGGTGCTGCTGCCCTTGCTGTTGTTGCTGAGGCTGGCGCTGCTGCTGAGGCGAAGCTGCAGCCGTACGAGACTGAGAAACTGAGAGGTCAGCCCTGTACACAGTGACTATTGAAGCCAGAGAAGGCAGCGAAAGCGGAATTCGAGGGGGGACCCGCCAAGCAGCAACATCGGGGGACCCCCCGTGGGGCCCCCTTTGGAAACAGAGGCCCCACGACCGACCTCGCATGCGTTCGGCAGCTGTCCCTACAGGCCCTACAAGCGTGTTCAGCAGGCTCGATGCGCAGTAGTTATCCCTTTCATTTTCTCGCAAGGTGAGCTCTACTCCAAAGCCAAGCAAACCCTCAACCCAAGGCGGTGTTTTTCCGAAGCATGCAACGCGTCACGCACAAGGCATGGGCTTCTAAGAAAGTCTATAGATATCACTTGATAAGTGTGGAAAGGATACGATGCAGCACCGTGGAATACGCAACAGGGGTTTGCGGTTTATGGCTAAGGGTCAGCTGTAGCACAGGGTAGCTGCACGCAGACAACATGTGAGTACGTGAGACTGTTTCCTTAGATTGCCCTGGTACACCAGCAGCAGTTGCTGTTGTGGTGGATACTGCTGCTCCTGCGGTTGTCGTCTCTGCTGTTGCTTGCTTCTGGTACCGCCTCTGTCGTTTCTCCTGTTGCGGCTGCCGGGGCCCTGGCTAGATTCAACCGGCTCCCATGCAGAGACAGCTATGTGGGTATGCTTCAGCAGAAGAGGACCAGTGCGGCATGCAGACTACTCAGTTCTAGCAAAGAAGACAACCATGTGGGGGCCCCCGTGGTGGGGGCCACGGCAGGCTGGGAGCACGGTACAGGCTTTGTGCGGTTGCACTAAGTTAGGCAACACGAGGGTCGTACGGGGCACCAGAAGAAGTGGGACTTAATATAAAAAACCAAGAATAAGGGAACATAAACAAACGAACTGCTTCTCGAGGTGATGCTGAGCTGCCAATGGGGAAGGCACGAAGGGCCCCAAGGCCTTTTAATGCGCGCTGACTGCCCTTCTGTGCGGTGCAGCCTGGTTGTGTCTAATGCCGTTCCTCCACTTTATCTCTTCTTTTAAATTGCTTCATTTATTTGTTTAGATGTTCTTCGTTCGGCAGCATTCTGCTCGGATATGCATGTAGTGCAGCACCGCAGAAGGACCTGCTGCAGCTGGGCGTGCAGCTGAGCAGCTTAGGCTGCGGCCTTGGCCCTCGCCTACCTCGCTGTGTGCAGCAGAATCTTCTCACTGCAACAACAACTCCATTCTAAATAAATATTTATTCTTTTTTATGGTGTAAGAACCCGTAAGATACATCTAGACGGAGGCGCCTCTGCCAATTCGTTGGCGTTTCTTCCACAGCAACGGCAACAGCGGAAACAACAGTAGCAGCAACAGGGGGAGATCCTTCTTTCTTGCCTTTGCACCTGAAAATAAGGTCATCTGGCAGTTGCCTGAGTTTAAGGATTAAGTTATGCTGTGTGTGCCCCCTTTTGCCCGCGCTTCGTTGCTGGAAAAGAAGCAGACCGACGACGGTCTCCTCCAGGGCGCCCAGCGGTCTGCGGAGCAGAATTGAAATCAGAACAAAGAGCTCATCATCTTGATCGTCCAAACAAATAAAAGAGAAACGAGCAAATTGCCGAGCTTGCCTTCCTTCCGTCTGCTCCCTTTGTGTACTACGCCCCGTAGACGCCGCGCTTTAGAAGCGGGCCGGGTGCCTCACGCCCTTAGCAGCTGCAATTCGATGTTTCACCGGCAAGCAGACGCATCAGCAGCAAATAACTGCAGGGAAAGCAGCAGAAAAGACACGAGGAAACAGCAGGTGCCAACAGCAACAAAGTGCAGCATCAACAGCATCAGCAGGCGATGCCTGTCTACGCAGAGGGGATCCGCCACGAGCGGAATTGCCCTGTAGGCGAGGCAGAGGAAGCCGCCGCCGCCGCCGCAGAAGCAGGAGCAGCAGATTCTGTGTCTGATCTAGTTGGAGACAGTTCTGAAGGGGAGACAACGGACACAGAGCAGCCATATGGAAGACACCGTAGAAGAAGGGGGGCACAGAAACTCTGCAGCGAGAAACGCTGTTGCACGTGGTTTGATCTCTCCAATTGGTTCGGTTTCTTGCCACTTCAGCTGTCCCAGGCGGACTTTCAGGCCTGCTTCACAGATGTTGCCAATGGGGGCCCGGGGTAAACGAATGACTGTCTCTTCTGCACACAGACACGACGCGCCACGGCACACGCTATTGTACCCTCGCCAGTGTTCCTCCTCTGTTTTGTCTCCTATTGACCATCTGCTTCATTATTTCCACCCTATGTTGTTTCCTCCTCTCTCCCTGCTGTCCCCTTCCCACTCCTAGCTGCCTCTTCTCTACTTGCCACTGGCCCTTGTCGACTGTCTTCTCGCCGCTGTCTTCTGTCAACTCTCTCCTGTCCATCCTTCTCACTCTATTGATTCTTGTCTCCTTTCTTTACAATCCTCTGCAGTTGGTGTTCTTGCGGAGGCGAGGAGAGAAAGAGTTTGCCAGACTCCTTGTCTCTTCTTCTCCGCCCACCCTCTGCTGCCCTTGTTGTCCCGTTTATCTCCTGTCCTCTCTTCTGTCAGCCGTTGTGTTTTCTTATCCTGTGGTGTTTTTTTTCTTGGCCGTGGGAGCTCTGTTTTTGTCCGGTCGGCCACTATGTCTCCAGAGACACTAAGGTTGTGTTGACAGTGCGTGTTTTGCATACGTTGTCTGTAGGTTGTACGAGAAGCTGGTGGTGTTGGGGGGCAAGACGTTAGATATTGTCTCAGAAATGCATTTCTATGAGATGTATCCAGAGGCATCGAAAGCCTTCGGGATGCCTCAGGACATGCGGGTGGAGCCCGAGGCGCTGCGGGTACTGTGGGCTCGCCGAAGGACGGAGCGAGTTTGCTCTCTCGCCGCGCTTTTCCTCTTTGGGAAAAGCTATCTCGCGGCTGCTCAGAGCCTGCCCACCCGTCTGGCTGTCGCCAAGTATGTTAAGGCGTGCGTCGGCTTCTGCTGCCGAAGCCCCGACACTGAAAACCTATACAAGTGGATGCCTGTCCTTGTGGAGCACATCTTTTGGACGCAAAGGTACATATGCTGCACGAGGGCATGCTAACAGCTGCCTCCTGTTACTTTCTCTGTCATCGTAGGTTACTACGTTGAACCTGGCTACCTCTTCGAGTTCCGCCATGTGCTACCCCACTCCTTGCCTCTTTATGCTTACGGGGTCCCACTACCTGAGTTTTATGACTATTAAGGCATCATTTTATATCAGGGTGTCTCCTGTGTGGTGCTTTCTCCGTTTATGTAGCAAAGGCGTGGCCTGCGCACACGCGCTTGGCTTTGGGCACCTAGTGTACGAGCTTTTGAGTGGCTCTGTATTTGTGCTTACTGGCTTCCATTTGCGTGTATCGTGTTTAAGATGTCTCCATTACCACATACCTGTCTTCTCAGACTGCGGACTGAGCGCCTCCACGAAGACAATGCGCTGCTGCAGGATTTGCAGGAACTCTTTGGTTACAAATGTGAGCTGCCTCTTGCAAGACGGCCTTAAATGTTAAAGTGTTTTCCTCTTCTTGCAAGGGTTATGCTGCAAGACAAAGCCTACCATATATTATCGTTTATTTGATCTACTAAGCAGACAGAGGGGCAAGCATCAGGCCTCCGCGTCCTGCGTGCCTATTAGCATCTGTGCTTTTTCCATGTGCTTGCCATGCGTGCATTTGTTTATCTTTCGTTTTTGAGAATGTTTGTTGCTTGTTCGTGGGTTGATTTGTTTTTCTCCGATTCCTAGCTGGTGTTATTTCCTTTTTCATGTTGCTAGGCTGTATTCATTTTTCAAGTACTTGTATGCACATGGTCTGTGCGTTGCCTTCAGTTGATCATTTGCTGCCGAGAATCCGTGAGTGCCTCGAGGGGGTGGCAGTGCCTCAGCGTTCGGACAGCCCTACAGGTCGCGAATTGCTGAAGTTGTATGCCACCGATTATTTTACAAAGCTTTCAGAGGTGCTCCTTGAAGCCCCTTGAGAAGTCCCGATTCCCTTGTCTTTTGCGGTGCAGTCCTGTGTATCGCGGTGTTTGGACACCTTATTCACTGAGTTTGTTTATTATTTGGGTGCACACTTCGTCTGTTGGCGCGCTTGCTTATCTTCTCAGTCTCTGTGCGTCTCTTGTCTGGCTGGTGTAGGAAGCAGGAGTCGAGCCTTCCCGCAGAGTGGTTTGGGTAGAGCAGGAGGTAGAGCACTTCCTTGGGGGGCCCGCTGTCGCCGTCTTCGCCGTTGCATGCATGTCATTGGGACCTTATGTCATGGCGTTGAAAGAAGAAGGACCCACAAGAGCTCAGCATTTTGTTGACATGTTCGAGTAAGCCCAAAGGCACACGTATGTATAGATCTATGCATATGAGTAGGCATATGGATATTTTTATATATAGGTATATGTATTTCAGCTTTCTGCACGAGTATCTCCGTTGAGAAAGGGGCACAGGCAGACGTCTCCCTGTCTTTCAAGCGAGATAATTCCCTCTGTCTAGATTGTACCTGGATGGGTTGCATGCAGGGCATTGTTAGCAGCCTGTTGGGTGATATCTACGGAGGAGAAGGTGAAGATTTGGATGCCCAGTTTGATTCAGAGGCTAAGACAGGTGTGCAGCAGCAGCCACAGGGTCTTCACTAGACCTTTACGACGAGCTGGTCGTTTGCTCTCCCGCGTCCTGTGTAACTCAGCTCGCTCGCTTTACTGACACCGATTTTGCTCGTGGGTTCTCGATGGTGTTTGTACACAGACTCAACTGGTGCTACATATGGCTCAAATGGGGGACAAGTACTTTGCTAACAAAACACGTCTGCAAAAGCCCGCAAAAACTCCTATTGAAGCGCGGCAGGTCGCTGCCTCCAACAACGGCTTTCTAGACCCCTTTGCTCTCTGGAATGTGGACCCAATGCGGCGTCCAGTAGCAGAAGGTGGGTCCTCTGCTGTCTCTACACTGCCAGTTAGGTACCGAAAAACGGCCTGTAGTTGCGGTGAAGTGGCCTGCATGGAAACGCCGGCGCGGCACGCTGGGGCTGGCTAGGGAGAGTTTATTCAGAATGGCACCTGCTCTAATTTCATAGGCGGTGCTTGCATGGTCTGGGGTTGCTGCTTACTGGAGCCAGAAGCACATGGAGGATGCAAAAGGTTGAAATGCGATTCTGTGCAGCCCCTGTGGAGTATCCGGGCCCTCCTCTGTACTACGGGCCCCCCGCCAGGGGATCGACTCTAGACAGCGTGAGCTGCCCCCCCTGTTGTTTTTTGTCTGCTCCGCACCCTGCACCCCGTATAGTGCCCGGAAGGCCCAGCAAGAAAACAGTGACACTGTTTGATTCGGAAGAAAACCGATATGAGCTGTACCCGCTGGGGCCGCAAGTGTTTCCTCTGCACCGACGACGCCCAAACGCGCATATGCTCTGTACGTACACCGTAGACGTCAGAGGCTTGTGCCCAGAACGCTCAAATCTGCTTCTCCTGCCAGCTCGCTGCTGCTGCTGCAGTCTATCTTGGACAGGCTTGCAATGAAAATGCCTCTTCTTGTGCCGATTGACCTGGGTTGCTGCAGCAAACAACAGCGCGAGAGACGGTCGTTCTTTGCGCAGCTGCTGCTCGGGGAGCCACCCTCCAGCAGCAGCTGGTTCCTCGGGGGGGGCCCAAGACAAATGGGCACCTGTAGCCCAACGTGCTGTCGACGTCTCCATTCAGACTCCATCTCAGCAACGCCCCGCAGCAACAGAAAGGCATGAAGCCTTAGCCGGAACCTGTAAGCCTGCTGTGTACTCCCCGCTCAAAAGGGCGAGGTAGCTCACAGCAACTATCCATGTCACACCAGCTAGCTAGCTCACGCGAGCCAGCTAACCGAACTCTTCAAAGAACCCGATCCGCTTGCAATACGAATACGCAGGATGGGTTGGGTTCAACATACCCGCTTACTCAGGTGTCTCTTATCGACAATCACTGCTCCTCCGAGGGCTCAGCAGGTAGCGACCTTGTGCAGAGAAGGGTGCTTGTGTCTGCACAGGGTCAGGAGACTCCGGGAGGCCCTCGGTGGGCCCACCGACGGCGGGGTCTCCTCAAGCTGTGTGCGCGGTTAGACATGGGGAAGGGGCGACCACCGCCTGTGCAGCTGAGCCGCGGGTGAAGATTCGGTATGTCGCTGACGACAGAGGAGGAGAAAGCTCCCAGAAGAACAGCGTTGAAGTATACATCGACGACGTGCTCGTCCATGAACAGGCGTTGCCTCAAGAACGAGACCTCTCCGGAAGCGAGTTCAAGGCAGGTGCGTCTCAGACACACCTGGGGAGGCTATTTACTATATTATACTGTAATATATTTAACTGTACTAAACTGCATTATACTGTAGTACATATGATATTATACTGTAGTACAATGCAGTACAATGTAGTATAATACTATACTCAGCTCTTTTCCGTTCCAGTCCGTTTCGTTCCGTCCTGTTCTGTTCCGTTGTAATCTACGTTACTCTCCTTTACTATTACACTATTTATTATGCTGGTAAACCTTTCTGTAGCTTCTGGTGCGAGGGGTGGTGCCTTGTTAATTGGGCCCGTATGTCTGTGAAGGTATCTAGAACCGTGCGGACCTGAGCTATTTGCTGCTTCCTCTGCTGCAGTGCTGTCGACTCCGACTGGGCTTCCTGTGGTATTAAACTTTGCGCGAAATGGAGAAGACGGGAAACCGACGGTGTATATAACGGAGGGGCGGTCTCCAGCCTTGGACTCTGGGGGTCTCCAGCCTGCTGACGGTGCGTACGGTGCGTCTCTGAAAGAGGTGCACGCAGCAGTAGCAGAAGCATCATCAGGTGCAGCAACATTTGTGGCAGGAGACGCCAACCCGCAGGAAAGCTCTAGCTGTTGCTTTGCTTCGACATGTGGCCCCAGACGCTCAGCAGCAGGGACAGGCAGACGGGTGGAAAGAGGAGGGGCCCCTGTAGATATCCTTGTTAGTCCTGCGTACCCTTTAGCCTCAGATACTGGGAACCGCTGCGGCGTTGAAATCCAAGAGGTCGAGCCCCCTGGCGATGCGTGCATTTTCGGCCAGTATCTCAAGCATTGTTTTGCTGCTCCTCCCCCTCGCATCCCCCAACAACCCGCATGGGAGCAAGTAAGACGGAGAAACCCTTTTCCCTGCATGCATGACGCCTGCACGGATACATGAATAGAGTTGCCTCCAAAGTGCTGGGCAATGCAGGAAGGAGGAAGCAACAAGACGTCAGTTATCTTGGTGCTTGTGCTTGTTTTTGTCTCCATTTTGTGCATGCAGATGCAGCTCCCTCGATCGCCCGCCCCTCAAGTGTATACTGTGCCCCGCATAAGGGCCTACACGGGTCGCGCGGGCGTCCAGCGCTGAGCCGCTGAGGCCTCGTGTACGTACACCACACCTATGCATGTACACCACCGCTGCCGTTTTAGTGTACACCGCAGCCGTTATGTGCATGCACATTGCAGCTAGGGATCAAGGGACTTGAGTAGTGCCAAGCCCGAGGCCCACTGCCTTTGGTGTGGAACTACTAGTTTATCTAATGCGGCGTCAAAGCACGCGTTGGATGGAAGGGCAGTGGAGCGGCCTGCGAGTCCCCGTTTTGTTTCTGAAGACTTCGGCTCATTTTAATAGCCAACGACTGTGGTCACTTTAGCGACACCCATATTCCCACAGACACTATAGCGTAGCAAGCCACGGGACGCCAGAGTGACCGGCGGCGTGCTCAGCGGACTGACGCCAGCGAGTTCTTTGATTTGCATATATTGTAGAGCCGCCTGCAGACATGTAAATTTCCTCGGCTTTCTCTTTACCATCCTAAATTTGTTGTTTTTAAGTTAAAAATAGGACCGTTTCTGAGATATTCAAAACTTGGGGGGCGCTAGTCACCACTGCTGCTCTCTTCTTCTCGCGCTCTGCATGTGGCTCGTCGAATTAACTTACACTATTTTCTTTTCCCCCACCCGAATTTATTTCATATTTTATATTCTACAGCTCCAACTAACCTTTCTAGTTCATGCAGTTCCTGTTACACGCCTAGTGAAGTAGCCTCACTCTAGATCAGAAGAGCCTCTCGTGGGTGCCTTATGAGGAACAAGCCTCTGCTAGCCGCGCAAGAGATTATTTTTTTGCACATGCGGGGTCAGCACCACTCTATACTTATAATTCGATCTTCAAACGACGAAGAGAACAAACCTGTGTTGACGCTTCGGAGTGCCTCCATTTCTGCACAGTGGGAGGATATTATGGCCCCAGAATATGGGAAAACGTCAAATCGCGGACAATTCAAGAATTCAAGAAACTCAGCTGCAGTGTTAAAAACCATAGGCGCTCTCTATGTTAATGTGTAAGAGAGCAAGTGTGTGCGTGCGTGCGTGTGAGCAAGTTCGTGGGACCGGTAGTTAGGCGCCAGGTGTGCTCCAATCGTTCGCGACTGAGGCTACTTGTGGGCATGTCAGATGGGGCTACACATGAGCTAGAAAGTTTAGTTGAAACTGTAGAAGATGAAACATAAAGTAAATTCCGCGAGGATAATTCGACGAGCCATATGCAGGGCGCGAGTAGCACAGAGCAGCAGTGGTGGTGAGCGCCCCCCAAGTTTTGAATCTTCCGGAAAAGGGCCTACTTTTAACTCAAAAAAACAAATTTAGGATGATAAAGAGCAAGCCGAAAAAATTTATATGTCTACATGCGGCTTTACAATGTATGAAAAGCAAAGAACTCGCTGGCGCCAGTCCGCCGTGCACACCGCTGGTCACCCTGGCGTCCTATGGCTTGCTGCGCCCTAGTGTAGTTCTCGGGTCCACCATTACGCCGTTCAGCTCAGCTCTATGAAGGAACTACTCGAATAAGGGAACAAACCATACAAATATAGATTATCTGCAAAACGACTCTGCCGAGATGAGTGAAAGGGATCGAGCCCGCCGCATTTTGCCAGCTTCAGTGGCCAGCCAAGTGACCCTAGAAGGACCTGAGCGTGTTGAGGTGTGCTTGCTCTTCCGAGATGGAATCTGCACAATGGGTGATTCTTGCATGTTTGCACACTCTCCCTTGCTGCTGCCGCTTCCCGCGGCTGCTGCGGCAACGGCGGCAGCGGCAGCGGCAGCGGCTGCACCCGGAGGCGTTGCCGCTCCCCTTTTAGGCGGGCAGCAGAGGCAGGAGGATCAGCAGATGCAGCAGCAGCATCAGCATCAGCGGTTGAGGCAACAGCGGCAGCGGCGGCAGGAGAGGCTGCACTATTGGCAGCGGTGGCACGAGCCTCTGCGTGAGCTGGCAGAGCGTGAAGACTTCTTTGAGTCGTTTGACACCCTTGATACTCCCAGGAGTTTCTACAATCCTGAGTGGCCCGCGGTTTCCTACGCTGCACACCCAGCAGCTCCAGGCGGCGCCTCTGCTCAAGAATTTGGAGACTCGAGGGGTCACGTCCTGCTGCCTCGGTACGCGGCTCAGATGCAATCATCCTTCGAAGAAGACGTGCCCCATAACCCTCGAGCTGTGAGCCTTCTTAGAGCAGAAGCAGCACTGCGTTCTACGCAGGCAGCCCCTGAGGCTTCACGCCACCCTGGAGAACCTCAGACCCCTCAGAGGCCTCAGCCTGCTCCGCAGCCCTCATCCAGGGGAGCCCGACAGCCGCGCTACAGAGGAAGCCCTCTTTTCGACGACGAGTTCCTCTTGGGCTCGCTGCTGTGTGCGGCAGCAAGAGACAGAGTGCCCCGTCTCTCCCCCCGCTGAAGGACAAGGCAGCTGACATCATGCCCCGCCACCCACACCGCCAACGCATGCATTAAGACTTTTCAGGAGCAACAGTAGCAACGCTTATCAAGTAAAGACAGATATGGCAGGCAGCATTTGGGGATACTCGTTGTACCTGGAGGACAAGCTTCTGCATGTATGCCGACAGTGAAAGAGAAACGCCGATGCGCACTGCCAGAAAGAGGAAGAAGACACCAGCCTCAAACCTACACCATTTCCCAGTAGACTTCAGCCCTGAAACCGCAGCATTTATTGCTGCGGCAGCGGCGGATGTAGCACCAGCAGCTCTGCTGCTACTGCGGGGCCTTTTGGGGATGCTGCTTTGCCTCAGGGTTCCTCACTTGGCAAAGGGCAGATTTCAGTGAAGCAATTTAATCAAGAAAGCATTTATAAGAGGGTCGCCTTAAACTCTAACGTAGTGTCATGCTGGTTGGCTCACGCTGTTCACCCAGCCAGCACCCCACACACTCACACATGAAATCTGCAATTAGGCATAAATAACTCTGCCTCCTCTGCTGCAGCAGTTGACGGTACCACGCCTCGTAGGGTGACATTCATATCCGCTACACCTTCAGCTGCTGGCTGGTGGTAGAAGTAGGAAAGTTTGTCTGGCTGCTGCAGGCATGTTGGTGGGGCTGCCAAGTAGGTGGCTGCAGTCAACTCCTCTCGCCAGACCTAAACGCCAAGCCCAAGCCCTGTCTCCCTACTCGTGCCACCTGAAGCTCCTCCCCTTCTTGGAATAGGCAGCAACGGGCTGCATAGCGGCTGTTGAGCTGAAGTGGGTGCTGTTCCCCCAAACCCGTACATATCCTTGTGCCACTGTTTCGAAGAAACACATGGAGCCGGTGCTGCGCTGTTAGGTGGTGCTTTGCTGCGGCTACATCACTGTAACCGGGATCTTCCAGTTAGGTTTGCTTCCAGTTGTAAATCTCGTTTGTTGCCTTATGCTGCTTGCCTTGCTGCACGGACACACACTTGCAGCAACGAAGAACAAGCCACTTGGCTAACAATCAACACCAAAAGTATCGAACCTAGAAATTCGAAAATTCTTCACAAATAAAGAGGCGGAAGTTTGTTCACCGGAGCAGCAGTAGAAACGGCAGCAGCAGGTGCTGCTGCCCCTGGGGTCGGTGGTCTCTACCAACCGGTCAGCTGGCGTTGCCGTTTGTATCCGGCGCCTCAGTTGCTTCTGAACTGCCATAGGTACGCATTATAGACTTTTAGTCATTAAATGGTTACATGTGTGAATAAATACTTCAAACAAACCCGTTCCAGGCCTCTTCATGGAGTTTGAGCCTACAGGAGCAGCTTTTCGCGCATACGCAGGTGACCTTTCTGGGTGGCTGTCGCCCATCATGCAGACACCACCCAGATCCTTGTCTGCCTGAAAGAGCAAGTTCAATATTCTTGTCACTTGTTTAATTGTTTAAACCATTTAATGCTTCTTCCTCCTCTCAGCTTGCTGTGCTAGACAGGCCCGGTGGGCAGCATGCTGTCTTCCTTCTTATCTTGCTGGTTACCTGGTTGCACTCCGCCTCCCCCTCCACAGCAACTCCGCCGCTGGCAGCTGGTTAGGCTCCCCATACACAGCAGCTCACGCCCAAAGCTGTCCCCAGGGCAGGAGGAGGCGGCCCCCTTCCGCACGGGCTCTTTGTTGGAGCAGCCAGGCTCGCGCAGCGGCGCCGTTTCCGAAGATGAGGGGTTTGTTGCTGTTCCGGAACGCCTCACCAGCTCTTTCTCCCTCTTCTTAATAAACCTCAAATGGCATCGAACAATCATCAACACCATCTCCCAGGCCGAACTTCTCGCCCTCTGCCGCCTTGCAAAGGCTCGATCGACCATTCGGTGCACAGAGCAACTGGGGCCCCTCTCTGCCGCTCCTCCATCAAAGGGAGTACTCATGCAGCAAGAATGGAGAGGACCATGCTCTACTGACAGTGGGGCCCACTGCGCTGGTGACAGGGAGACGCCTTGCTCTGCTGACGGGGTTTCTGCGAGCCCTTCTCATGCCTGGAGGGACCCCCAGTCCGAAAGGCCCGTCACTGCCTCCGGTATCCCTCTCATCCGGATTGTAGGGAGGAGGAAGCTTCGAGTTGACCCCATAGATGTCTGTGGTTTGCTGGTGTCTGGCTGTCTCCAGCTGGCGGACTTGCCACTACTTGAGGATTTAGAGGCAGTGGCAGAGGAAACAGAGGCAGCCCACGAGAAGGAAAATAAATGCTGGAAGTGGGCGCCTCTACTGGGGATGGGTCGCAGGCGCGGGGACATCTGGAAGTGTGCAGCAGCGAACCTCCAGCACCAACAACAGCAGAAGCAGCGACAGCAGCAGCGGCAGGGCCCTGTGCGCCGCCGCCGCAATAAGCGCTTCGCATCGGAAGGTCTGTCTTCTTCACTTACTGTGCTACAATCACCCAGGAGTACTGCTGCTGCAAACGACCTCAACGTAAAGACGCCACCACCACCAGCAGAAGGTGCATCAGCAGAAGGAACAGCAGCAGATCGCCCCTTCTCGTCTACGGGTGCGCAGCTCGGTTTCTGCGGCCACCCTGCATGTACCGCTGAGGTCTCAGGAAGGGCCCCCTCCGGGGATCCTCTAAAGATACATTTTCCTTGTGGCAGAAAGGGAGCCACCCGCATTCCTCTGGGGGTCCCCGATACCCCTTCGGCTCTTGTCTGTTCGGAGGATGGGGGAGAGGAGGCAGAGATAACAGGGGAGGCAGCAGCAGCAGCAGTGTCGAATTTGAGCAACAACAGCCTTGCGCTGCTGGGACACTCCTGCCGTTGGCCTCTGGCTGGAGCATGTGATGGGTGGGCTTCTCCAAGTTGTACCGCCCATATGGGGCTCTGGGAGCATCTGCCAGGATCGGATTCTCCTTCCGCTCCCGTTGGTGCATATCCAGGGGACCTACCGTCCCATTCAGAAGAAGACTGGAAGAGCGCTGTGGGATTTCGCGAGAGCCGGAGAGGGGGGAGCATCAGCAGGAAGAGGCGGGAAACGCAACGACAGAGGCAGCGATTGTCTCCTTTAGACCCTCCCTATGATTCGCACGCGCTGCTGTTGCACCCCTTCTCTGCTGCTCCTGCTGCTGCCCTTCCTGACTCGGAGACTGCGCGAGCTCATGAAGTGCACGAAGTCTCCCTCGACTTCCTCAGCAGAACTAAACCGACTCAGGGATGCCCCAAATGTAGCCGCAGACGAGGAAGCAAAGGAGACGCCTCAGAAGGGCCACTCACTGTAAAAGTTCCCCCATGTCCCCTCCACCAGAGACTGCACTACACACAAGTTGGTAAGGCCCTCTGCGATCCGAGAGTCTCTCCTTGCATCGCCTCCTGGTATCGCGCTAGGGGGTCGCCTAACAGGATATCCATCAGGATCATATCTGCGCCTTCACTGCTGTTGTTGACAGTGCACTTGTGTATTCGCTGGTGCTACGTGTTGTGGTTTTCAGGAAAAGGCCCCGAGAGGGTAGTCCTCATACACGGCATTTGCATGAGCGGGTACTTCTTTGCAGAAGTCATTCGAGTCCTCTTTCCAGATACGGGAGAAGGGGGGCTCCCCCGCGGGAACCGACCTGAAGGCCCGGATGATGGAGACGAGCGCGGGAGGTACAGCTTCTTCTGCGTTGACCTTCTGGGCTACGGAAAGAGTGCCTCCATTCCCTCAACTCAGAATTACTCCAGGAGAGAGCAGGCAAGCAATCCCTACTTATCTTGTGCCTTTTTTCTTTCGGCGTTCTATCTCCTAGAGGTACTCCGTTGGCTCCCAGTGCAATGGTCTTCACAAGCCCGCAGACAAGCCCGAAGAGGGAGCGGCTGATAGATAGCCATATAGCTAGCCCGCCACCTAGCTACACGGCCAGCTAGCGGGGCCACAGTGGGCTAGATAGTAGCTGTCACGCTGCGGTGCTTCGCAGGCAGAGGCGATAATGCGGGATCTGATTTTGGCTAACGGCTTCACTTCTGTACACCTGGTCGGTCGAAAAAGGCGTAAAAGGAAGGAGACGGGTCCCTCGGCAAAAACAAGCGAGTTGACGCCCTGCTAACAGCACCAAGAAATAGGAGGCATTCCTAGGGCCAGCGAAGGGGATAGAGACTGCGGCAGTAGAGACACAAGAAATGAACCATCTGCATTTTAAAGTGTAGAAGGAGAGACAGGAGGGCCCTCGAGACAGTAACTGAGGAGGCAGGAGACCCTCCCATACTGCCCTGTTGCTGCGTTAGCGCATGCTAGTGTGTGCGTGTGGCTTCTGCTGTCTCCTTGCACGCCTGAGGTCCCGCGAGTGCCGCAGCGCCTAAAGGCGACGCTTTGTCGGGGTGAAAACACGAGAGAAGACAATGAATGTGTTGTTGAGAGTGGAGGAGGGAACAGTATTTGTGTGTTGGAGACCGAGAAAGGAGACAGCATTTGTATTGAGAGTGGGAGAGGAGACAACACTTTGTGGGGAAAGGAAATAGGATAAGCGTTTGTGGAGAGAGGGGAAAGCATTTTATTGAGGGGGAGGACACCTGCTTGCTTGTTCTTCGTTGCTGCAGGTGGGGCATTCCTTCGGGGGTTTGGTGGCTGCGGAGTTGTGTGAAATGCTTCCAGCTGGTTTTGTGAAGGCTTTGGTGTTGCTGTCTCCAGCTTATTTTGAATCGGAGAGACAGGCGTTGAGGATCTTAACTGCTTCTCACTTCCCCGCTGCGCACGTGAGCCGTCTTTGGCTGTCTCCGTTGAGGTTTTGGGAAAGAAGGAAAGTTGAATGGGAGAAAACCTCCTTATGACCTCAACAGCTTCACTAGGAAACAGCACACAGTAGGGTTGCTGTACATCATTACTGAACCCGTAGAGCCCACACATAGGGCAGCATACAGCTGGACAGCTTACGCAGACGGCTTACTGAAACAGTAGCAACTGTATCAATAGAAAGAGCATCAATAGCAGCAGCAGCGCAAATAGCAACAACAGTAACAACAACAACAGTAGCAACAGAGTAAATATTAGAGTGCACTTAAAGGCATCCCCCACGAGGTCTAGTACAACGGGGATCTAACGCGGCATCTCTCGCGTGTGAGGCGAGCGTCATAACCACTAGACAATGCCCATCCTTCGGGACCTGCTGCGCTTACGTTGGGTCTACTCGAAGTTACGGACACTTGTTTGTATACTCGAGATGCTCCTGAGGCTCAATGTAGTTGTAGTGGCAAACAATACATGCTTGTTTTGAGGATCTGGTGTCTACGCCAACAACTTATTGATGGAATGATGGCCAGTTCTAAATACAACAGAAACTACATGCTCCTGCCACCTCTGCCACTCTTGCAACGGCAGTCACAGCTGCGACTGTCCTCTGCGCCCGTCACTGTGCTGGCTGTTGTTCTTTCTGTCTGTCGGTCCTTCCTTTTTCGTTGCCTCTTTGTCTGCCTGTGTATTGTTTCTCCGTTCATTGGCCTCTCTCTATCTCAAATACAGGGATAGAGAAATTGATACGGAGATAGAGGCCAATGCACAATACACGATATCTCTATCCCTGTATTTGTCTCTGTCTCTGTCTTCCTTTCTCTGCGTGTGTGCGCTCCCCTCAGACAGTAGCTCATCCGTACTTTGGCGAGTTGCTCCTACGGTTAGGTGTTGTGCTACGGCCGCTATTCGAGCCACTGGTGCTGCGGTTAGTGCCTCCAGGGGAGTTGCCTCAGCTGTCTGTGGCAGATATCTTCAGCATACACCCCGACGCCCTTACAGGGACGATTCGATCGATTGGTGAGAAACTAGATCCCCTAAGTTTTCCTCAAAAGGCATCTGTCGAACGGAACTCAAACGAATGCTGCTGCTGGCGCTATCTGCGTCTGCTTTGGGGGTTGGAGGGATGCACGTGCGTCAGCAGCTGACCTACTGCAGATATATATATATATATATATATA